AATAGAATAGAATAGAATAGAATAGAATAGAATAGAATAGAATAGAAATAGAAATAGAAATGGAATCGAATCAAAATAGAAACAGAATAGGATTATTATAATAGTAAACTTTTCCAGCTATATTAGATCTGCTCTCATAATTTCCAATTGCTATGGCCAGCTGCACTCGTTAGAAAATTGCCCAAAAGTTTTGAAGCATATAGGTAGTCCTTGACTTACATCCATTAATTTAGTGAACATTTGCAGTTAAAACCGCAGCAGAAAAAAATTACTTGCAATTGGTACTCACAATTTCAGCCATCACAGCATCCTCGCAGTCATGTGTTCAAAATTTGGGTACTTGACAACTGCCACATATTTATGACGATTGCAGTGTCATGAGGTCATATGTTCATTATGTGTGATTTTCCCAGCTGGTTTCCAACAAGTAGCATCAATGGTGGGAGCCAGATTCATTTAACAACCAAGTTATAAACAATTACAAGTGATTTGCTTAACAACCATGGCAAAAAGGTCTTGGATGTGACTCACTGAATAACTGCCTTGCTTAACAACAGAAATTCTCATCTCAGTTGTAGGGTAAATCAAGGGCTACCTGTATCAGCTTTGGAAAGGCTATTGTAAGACTGAAACAGCACTCTGCAAGCAGGGACAAATAGGCAGACAAAGATATAACAAATGAAACAAAATCTTCAGGTATAAAATATATGCATCCATGCAGCTTCTATGAAATATGTGAAATATGATGACATGGTGTGTAATGCAATGTTCTTCTACTTCTACTTTAAACTTCTACTTTAAAGGCATAAAACCCCTGCCTTTTTTCTCTGCACTAGATTTTCCACACAGAGGCCTCTGACTTTCTGTATGACACAGAAAAAAGAATCGTGTCATTGCTCTCCAATGCTTAAAACCTCCAGGGAGGATATTTCAACCACAATGCACATTGAAGCATTTTCCAAAGCATAATACACGGGTATCATCAAGATTATAGAACATTTATTCAGAGTTCAATACAGGATATGCATCATCTTAAATGCCTTTTAATGCTAGTCGTACCAGATAAATGTGAACTAACATGGTCAGAATTAGATATTGAAGTTTCTTTCAATATTATCCTAATGGCACCAGTTTGATCACTTAGGGCATCATGATAGAAGTAATTAAAAAGCTGATTCAGTGAATCACAGTTTTATATATATATATATATATATATATAAAATAAGCAATCTGATCCAGAATACCTTCCATGTTCCCCAAACTCCACTCTACCTGGATATGATTGTGGGCCTTCTCCTGGTAGTGCGTATCATCTCCAGTCCCACCATCCTCAGATGGGATCCCATAACTGGTGCAATTGTCATAATGGACGTAGTCGTACTGGGGGGCACCACCCCACAGCGTGGTGTCCTTCTGGCTCTTGAGCTCTGAATGCTCCATAGTTCAACTTTTGCTGAGGTGGGACAAGGACACTGCAGAAGAAACTCCAGGCCCCCCCAGCTGATCAGTCCAAGTCATGCCCCCCCCCCTCCTGGCCCTCCTCTCCTCCCCTATTTCTTACGTCTTTCTCACTTTCTTTTCTTCCTGCCCCCAAAGGGGTCTGGGGCAGTGATTGCAAGGTTTAATTATATTTATAGCAGTCTTCTTCTGTCACATGACCCCTCCAAAGCCACATCTGATCTGAGCAAGAGGCATTAACTTGGTCAGGATTGAATATCAGGTGTGACAGGAGGAAACCCTCAAGGAGTGGGGGGGAGGGAGCGAGGGAGGGAGGGAGGAGAAGGCAACAGCCAGGGAAGGAGTCCGCAGGCTGGAACTCAAATGTGCCGAGCTCTATATTCATGTCAGAGGGCTTTCCGCTTCTAATGCATGCAAGCTTACATAGGATACTTGGGACTGACTAACGGCTTCTTTGCAAAGTCTCTACATCAGCAGCCTTGTCTGAAGGCAGTGAATATTGAAACCTAAGTAACCCAGGAATTATTCCCTCTTCACACATATCCAAAACTCTGCTCACTTTTAAATACTCCAAATTTAAGCATATTCTCTTTACATCCCTGCCCGCGGTTGCTTGCTCCAGCTGTAACACTGCCAGCAAAAGCTCATAGCAATTACTTCCAAAGCCCACATAGCCTCCCCCCGCCTCACATCCTGATAAATCCCAGACAGCCACTGATGCTTTACTGAAAAATTTCAAACAATTATATTCTGTCTGGTCCCTTTTATGTAGAGATGACTTCTGTGTCCTCCCAAATTCTTGTTCCAGATACCTTCCTAAAAAAAAAAAAAAAAGCACTTTTTCTATAAAAAAAAAACTTAGGCACACATCTCTAGCCACCAAACTCTTCTATAACTAGGCCTATGTATAAAATGAATACTTTATTTTTCCAGCTTTAGTTCCAGATCCCTCCTCCTATTGTCTTCTCAAGTCAAATCAAAGGGTAAGCTCCTTCAAGGCATTTGGAAGACACTATAAATCAGAGGCCTCCAAATTTGGCAACTTTAAGACTTGTGGACTTCAACTCCCAGAATTCTGGGAGTTGAAGTCCACAAGTATTAAAGTTGCCAAGTTTGAGGACCCCTGCCATAAACCTTCACAGCAGTGGTGGGATTCAAAAAAAATTATTACCAGTTCTCTGGGCGTAGCATGGTAGGCGCAGTGTGTCTTGGTGGGCATGGCAGGGGAAGTATACTGCAAAATCTCCATTCCCACCCCACTCTAAGGGAAGGATATTGTAAAATACCCATTCTGTCCACATCCCACGAACCTGTTTTCCAGCTCCATTCTCCTGTGCAGGGCAACAAAAGAAAACCCAGCCGATCAGCTGGGACTCAATGGGAGGCAGAGAAGAGATGCGGGTGGGGCCAGCCAGAGGTGGAACTACTCAAAATTTCCACTACTGGTTCTCCAGAACTGGTCAGAACTTGCTGAATACCACCTCTGCTTCACAGCAAATCATACACATTATTAGAGAGGCAGACGTGTTCTTGAACAAAATAAATATTCCATTTAATTGAACTTTCTGTTTTCTGCAGTGATAATCAAATTGTCTCCTAGAAGCTGTAAACAAGATACGAATGCAACTGGCCTGTACTGATTTATTTATTCTGCCATCTCCTTCACAGGTACGGTACCTAGTTTCTGCTCAGGGAAGGTTCTGTTTAATTGCAGCCAATGGAGACACCTATCTTTCATTCATTCATTTAACACTTCTTTAAAGAACAAAACTTAATGTAGCAGCTTATCTTTTCTTGCAGCAGTGGATGTTGTCCGTTCAGTGTGTGTTATGTAGTTCCTTTTGCTTGTCCCGAATCAGCTGCATTTGAATCCTGTTTTTATTTATTTATACAATTATTTGTACGCTGCCTACTCGGAAGGTCCTAGGTGCTTGCAATCATAAAAGCAAGAAGAAATAGACAACCACAATGTATCACTTTCTTCTTATACTGCCGGCTGTCTGAATTAAAAATAAGAAAAATGCCCGTCCTTCCACATCTGCCAGAATATATTATTTTGCCAGTATTTTAGACAGTTTTAAATACAGATAGAGAGTAAGTTTGCATTCTGAACAAGAATGTCCTTCAATCCTAGGAATCTGAAACTAACAAAAGAAGAGCATCACTTCTTCTCCATTTCTGAATCTTGAAAACACCAGACCAGGACTTCTGCCTCCAATTCAGTTCACGTACTCCTAGCAAAGAACAACAACCTGCCCCCCCAGCTGCCAAATTTTTCCTTCCCTTGAAAGAGTATCTTCATTACACGGTCCTAGCCAATTCAGAATTACTTAATTAATATACTAAGATAGCAAAACCAATCAGATATCGCTATGCAGTGACCGCTCTGGTGGCAAGTTAAGTCTTTTTCTCATCTTGACTTTCCATGTGTATGTATGCGAATTGCCAAGTGTCCTACTGGCCAGACAAGATGGACAACGTTCCCAGTCTTTTGCCTCTGCACTGGGATGTAGTATAGGTAGTTCTCACATCACGACCACAATTGAGCCCAAAATTTATGTTGTTATGAGTGAGGAAGTTGTTCAGTGAACTTTGCCCCATTTTGTGACCAAATTTTGATCACATGATCATGGGGATGCTGCAATGGTTATAAGTGTGAAACATAGTCATTTTTTCTGTTGTAACTTCAAACAGACACCAAACAAATTGTTACAAGTCAAGGACTGCCTGTATAGCATCGTATCATTCTAATTCAACTATAATCCCATTAAATGATGTCATGTCCAAGCAAAATGTGGACAAGAATGAATCTGAATGTCAATCAGTTTTCATGTGAAATTAATGTGGAAGAAAACATCTACATTCTGATGCACTTTTTGGATACCGATGTGGGCAGTTCTGAATTATTTCACGAACAGGAATAAGCCACTAAATGTGCATTTCCAATTTCCCAATGCATCAGAGGCATATATAAGATTCTTTCATCATGACTTTCAAAAATGTTGTCGGTGGTTAAAATAGAAAAAGCATGGCACAGCAGAATGTCTAAGGGTTGAACTTTATTACTATTTGGATGGGGCATCACTAGAAAATCTCTAGATTATAAATTAAACCAGGACATTGTCCCTTCTCCACACACATACACACCTAAAAAATATATCCTGGGAGCCAGGATTTCTATGTTTATTATTGCCAAGACATAAAACAGCTTTGCTCACCAAGAGTTTATCCCAATATGAAAAAATTACTTTTTGCTCCTTTGTATCTACAGTGGTATCTTGTTATTCATCATTAATTGGTTCTAGAATGTATGATGAGTATCAAAAACAATGAGAATCAAACAAATTTTTCCCATAAGGTTTAATGTAGTGAATCACAAGGTAGCCATCACTGACAAGTTCTAGCTAGTGCGTTGAGTACCAAACAAAAGATGAATACCGGGACAACATTTTCACATCAAAATGCATTGAGTACCAAATTCAATGTGTTTCAAAGCAGTTGAGTACCATGGTACAACTGCAAATCTACCTATAGACAGTACAACTTCCAAATAATGATACACTGAGCTTAATTCATTCCCTCTTTCAGTTCTGGATGATAATTGTTGTCGTCCAATTAACATAGGGCTGTCTTTCTATTACCCTGTCCCTGCAGCAAATACTGAGCTCACTTGAGTTTCTCATCAACTCAGTTCATCACCACTTCTTGGAATTAATACATCCATATAACTGACTTGCATTTGAAGATTAAAATACCTAATACTTAATATGTTGCCGGCTGGTAACTTCAATGATTTAACTTAAGCATTAATTGGAGTGTATGGGAACACCCCATTTCCCACAGCTAAGTGAAAAGTACTTTTTCATTGTGCTCTGTAATATAGAATTGTAAATAACCAGCATTAAGATATTTAAATTTTCAAGTAAATGAAAGCAGCCAATTATGAAACACCACTATCTATCTATGCAGAATATGACACAACACAGAATTAAGAGTATTTAGTTCCCAATGTTTGTATTTCTTTTATAATAAAGTATTTATTTACCTATCAAATTTATATGGAAAGCTATCTCACAAAAATGACTCTGGGTGGCACATCCAGAAGGATAGAAAAAAATAAACATATTTACAAAAACAGCCATTATTAAAATGATTTTTAAAAATCATGTACGAGATCAGATATTAGCAACCATAATGGAGCCACATATTCCATGGTATCCTTCTTTCCAAAGGATATTTATAACAGTTATAGAAATTAAATGATTAACTGCTGTAAAAGAAAGTAATTCCCACGGCTATGCGTTACATTCACCATAGCATTCTGCATCCTGTGTTGAATTGTTGCATTTTCAGAAACATTTAAAACTCATCAGTGTATGAAAATGGCAGAGATGAGGGCTTCTGGATACCCCTTTAAGCATAAGACAGGAATGGTCAAAATCTCTCGTTCAGAGGAAAAGTCTATAAGTGTTCTGTTCTTACATTTTTCTAGAAAGCAAAGATCCTTGAGTTATATAACATAAAACTTAAGCTTTGTATTTATATGGGGTGTGATACATTTTTGGTAAATAAATTGTTAAAAGACTTCCACATAATCTCGAAAGCTGTAAACCATAATCTCAATGTTGTAAACCAAGCTGGTCTAATTACAGAACATATGATACTTCACAGCTTCTCTCAAGCTACGGAATGGAGTATACATCCAACTAATGGCAATCATGACATTCTTGTTGTCTTCTCCATGTATATATTTATATTCAGAATGGGGAAAACTTGGAAAAGAAAGAAAATGGAAGGGATGTTGAAGCTCACCTGACATGGAAGTTTCCTGCTGTCACTCATATTTCACCTAATGTGTTGATTCCTTCAATTCTGTTCTCCCTTCTTCTACCTGTTTCCCCAGATGACAATGGCCCTGCTGACCTAATATAGTTGTTGCTTCTTACCTCCACCCCTATCCCCATGTGCTTCACTATTATGTGAACACCCTGAGATTATCTTTGCAATCCATGGTTCA